ATATTATATTATATTATATTATATTATATTATATTATATTATATTATATTATATTATATTATATTATATTATATTATATTATATTATATTATATTATATTATATTATATTATATTATATTATATTATATTATATTATATTATATTATTATATTATATTATATTATATTATATTATATTATATTATATTATATTATTATAATATTTTTATAATATTGCGTGAATATCAATCAATCAAAAGCCAGAGCTAGATCTTTGGGCCAGATTTCTCAACCTCAACAGTTTTAAGAATTTTCGTCCCATAATTACATCTTCACTGAAGTACCTGTTTTTAAATTTCTTTTCTTTATTGCAACATCTATATGCTAGCCCAAGTATTCTCTGGAACATGCATGTTTAAGCAGCAGGCAGAAATATACACATATACACAAATATTATGAAGATATTATTCTTTCCATCCACTGCATGACAATCCTTCTTGATAAATTATGAGAAAAAGAAAATAAACCACACTATTGAAATGACTATCCCAAAGTCTGACTGTAGCATATTCGTAGACTTCAACTCATCAGTTTGTCAAGATGGTAGATACTTCAAAAGGACACTTTCTCAAGGAGAATGTCCAGATTTTTATTCCATATAGAATTTCTAATGCATGTAGATAATAAAGTAAGAAATATGAAGAGCAACAATATATTACATTCTCTGCCATTTACATTATATTTCCTTCCTCTTCCTGTTTTTTGAAGCATATCGGGAACCAGACTATACTTATCGTGTATCTGTTCACTTTACAACTAAAGAATGCAATCTAGCAGCTAATAGACAATTCTTTGAAGAACTACAGAAAATCTTGAATAATTTGCTTGATTATCTGAAATGCCACATCGTTGATTCATCATACAGATGTTTTTCTGTCAAGCGACCCAAACATGGATTAGTAGATGAACTATTCATTGTTTTTCAAGGTAATGTAAAAGTGATACTTTTTTGCCTCCATGGTTTTTATCTTATCTGGACAACCTATGTGGAGCTGGATTGCGGGAAAAGAGTCCCTGTTCAATATAACTATGTTTTCAGTGCCTTTCTTATTGATGATATAATTCCATCAAACCAGAATCCCTTTAATTTGGCTCTGTGTTCTTGCAAACATTAGATTTTATCCATTTGATACAGACCTAGCTGTTCTCATTTTGTTTCTGAAGTGAGCTGCATTACTTCTTCCCCTTGAAAATTCCAAGATTGTGTCACTCCAAAATATATTCTCCTGAATTCAGTCACAAAACATTTGCTATGGATAATCCATAGAAAACTCTGAACAGACATATATTGCAGGCTAATTATTAACACCAGAGCTTCTGCTGTATTTGGGGGGGGGGGGGCTCTTACAGGCTAAATCTTTTTATTTAATTCAGCATTAGCAAAAAAATCTATACCTCTATTAAAAGTTCAGCTGAAAGATGGAGTCTTTTGCACTGTTTACTGTATATGAAGTGAATGTATGACTAATCTGCACCATGAATGGAATATATATCTTGAATTCATTGCAATTTGGGGGGGGCATAGAAAAATTGGGAAATATTTCCTCAGGAAACTTTGACAGCCAGTGTGAAAATGCTTCTTTCAGCTGCTGTCCATGGTACCTCATCAGATAAAGTGGGATTCAGGCATCTGTTCTTTTCCCGCTTCTATCCGCTTTCACAGTAACAATTCGCTGTAGATGTTTTGGCCTGGCTAACTCAAAGATGAAACTTCATTAAAAGGTTATATCTCTTCTGAATTAATTGTTCTTCCTAGGAACAGCTGTATATAAGGCACAGTTGTTGTAGCCCAAGGAGAAATAGCCTTTGTGGCTGAAATCATAAATCCATACGATTGTGAGTCCCATTTCAATGCCCAGGTTTTAATTATTTATTATATTTAGGCACAATTCATAGAGAACTATATTTTTATCTGCAAATGTTTATCTCTTTTTGTCACTTAGTAAATCCATTTGCCCCTGGCTGGGAGGTTAGTTGCCATCAAATTACTACTGACTGTGAAGACATTACCAACAGCCATGTACATAAGGTTAGAGGGAGTTTATCAGACTTTTTCAAACTGGCATGTTTCTGGATACTCAAAGTACCAAATAGTTTAGAAATAGTTTAGAAGGTGTCAAATTGCAGGTTGTGCAAGAAACGATTGCAGCCCCTGGAATCTCCCTGCAGATTTAACTATTTAACATTAGCAGCAAAATGCACAATTCAGTGGTGGGGGTAGAAACTAGGATACCAAAGCATAGAGACCTTTGAAATCTCAACAATAAAGATAAGTAAATATCCAACTCCTACCAATTAAAAAGAGAAAAAAGTTTCCCATTCAGTGACATTGATGCATCAGCACAATTGCCCTGCATCCCTTAGAATCTGAAAATTAAAATAAAATTAAGTCATCCTGAACCAGATAAGCTGTGTTCATGCCAAAATAGATAAATAAGTAAAAATTATATACTTCAACATACAATGAAGTATCACAGTCACTTTCTTCAGTGTTACTAAATTAGATTAAGGACAGATTGCAGGTCATTTTTCTATAAGAATTTATAAATAACAATTAAATCCAACCCAAAATCAGAGAAATCCACTCTCTCACTGATTGTTTTAAGCAGCTTTCAGAATACCATCAAGATTTATGCATAGCATAGAAGAAGTGCCATCACCCAGAAACATTATTTCTAGGCCCCTGCCCTCTAAACTGAGAGAAAACTCATGATTTCTCACATAAAAAAATATGTCAGATTGTTCTATTCCATTTAGAAGAGGTAGCTGAGAGTAGCTGGGAGTCAAAACATCTAAGCCCCTTGGGGTTAAAATCAGACTTTGAATCACAAAAACACCTTGAAATCTATCTGAAATCAATGCAGGGATTTTATCAAAACACAAAATTGCAACACAAGTGTTATGTACCCTGGCAGCTCTCCTGCACAAACACAGAGAACAAAGACCAGAGAAGATTCACCTAGAGGTTTATAGAAACATTGATATAAATTCTTACGGCATTTATTTTATTCACGTGGTTATTTTCTTGAGGAGTGTGCTTCTGATTTATCTTTACAATTAGAGTCCATTAGAGTTGGGTGCCCAGTAAATTCCAATAAATAAAGTTGTAAAGTGGACTGAATAAGAAATAGCCTTTCCTCCTGGAAATCTGTGAAAGGTGTGTGTGGGGGGGGGGAAACAATCTGCAAAGATTGGCCACATGATCTCTTCAATTTAATTTGCCTACAATGAGGCCTAGAAGCTCTCCAGGCAGCTTGCCCTTTGATTTCCCTTGCATTACATGAGCAAGATTCCAGACCACTGGGCATCAAGGTTTATTCCTATGATTTCATTTATTAATGTTCTTCTTTTAATGTTTTAGGCTCGAGGGTTCATTGAAAAGTTTTTCCGTGAACAATGGTACATCTTGAAACATGAGTTTGTGAACATCCCTGCAATCCATTACATAGATCACAGTTTCCAAGTCACTCGATTAGACAGCTGTCGCCCAGGGTTTGGGAAAAACGACTTCATCCACAATGATTGTGCAAATTGCTGTGGTATTTATTTTATCCATGTGCTTTTTTTTCTCAAGGACTCTGCTTTTGATTTATCCTCACAACCAATTTAGCATTTGTGATTGGCCATAGATTACTTTCCAGTGGTTAAATCCTTTTGGCTTGTTGGTTAATTTATTTTGACAAAAACCGTTTTAGGAAAAAATATTTTTACTGAATTTGATTTAGGGTTCAGGTTTTCTTTTCTGCTACAAGATTTATAGCTGCACAGTGTAATGTTCCAAAAGGGATTATATTAGATTGCTACAGGTAGTTTTCAAATACTGTTCTGGGTTATCAAAGGTTCTCTGTAATTTTACTCAGTTTTGTCGCTAAGATTATTCCACTGTATCAAGATCATTTTAAATCTTATTATTGGCCTCTAGGCTATATGCTGTTTCTACTACCACCACTCTTGTGTCAGTCACTCTGCATACTTCCATCTGAACACAGCTCCTCTTTATGGAGAAAGCAAAGTAGGACGAGAAGTTCTGATCTCCTGATCATCTATCAGTATCTTACTATTTAGTCCAGCTGTTCCTTTTTCTTCCTTTTGTTACTTTTAGCTTCCTTTCTGAGCTCAGTTCACTGTGTGTTTTAGCCTTTCTATTTTCCTGCCAATATCAGCTACCTCCTAGTAGTTTTCCTTTGTGATTATACCCAGTTTCCGTATCCTGTGCATGTACTATGAAAGCTCTCCATGTATCCCAGATAGCTTCCTGGCTCTTCGCCCACCACCATCTTCATTTTTTTTTCTTACTGAAATTGTGTGCAATTGTACTTACGGTATTGCTAAAAGGAGGAGGAGGAGGAGGAGGAGGAGGAGGAGGAGGAGGAGGAGGAGGAGGAGAAGGAGAAGGAGAAGGAGAAGGAGAAGGAGAAGGAGAAGGAGGAGCTCAATTATAGCATCACTTTGAATATCTTTGTTTTCTCATGTTTCAATCTTTGGTGTTCCTCTTGATTGAGGAATACTCTTTGTTCAGTCCTTTCTATTCAATTTCAGAAGAATTCCTTATTTTTATAAAATCATTCTGCACTCTCTCTTTTAATCTTATCTGTTCCCTCATCTTTTCTATTGCATTAATTGCATCTACCTATTTTTCTGCATACATTCTGTGTATACACTCATTCTCTCATCTTCACTTTAGTAGTCATCATTTTCATATATGCACTTTTCCTTATCTGCAGTCTTTATTTTAGTCAAATATAATATAAAATTACAGAGAGCCACAGAAACTGTGGCTTTACATTATTATGCCAGTAACATAAAATATTTTAATTCTAAATTTTGTAAATAAAATTAATAAGGTAGGAAATTATTATTAATTATTAATAAGGTAGGAAAACTCATTTGATGTAGTGATTCAGGCATCAGGCTAGAAACCAGGAGACTGTGAGTTCTAGTCCCACCATAGGCACGAAGCTAGCTAGGTGACTTTGGGACCATCACTTCCTCTCAGCCCTAGGAAGAAGAAAGCAATAATAAACTACTTCCAAAAACTTTGCCAAGAAAACAGTAGAGATTTGTCTAAGCAGTCATCAAGTGTCAACAATGAAATAAAGGTACCCAAAAAAAGACAAAAAAGCCCAATCACTTATTTTGTACTTCTTGTCTCATATCTACCAGTCAATCCTGTCATCCAGCAGAAAAATTCTCCCATACAGATCAGATTGATTTAGAACGTTGCATAATTTTCTTCCCAGCTCATCCTTGGTTCTTCAGTTATCACCCTCTTATAGCGTTCTACTTTCATATTCACTCACAATGGCCTAGATCAGACATGTCAAACACAAGGCCCGGGGGTCAGATACAGCCTGTGAAGTGGTTTCATGTGGCCCGTGAAGCCATCCTGGAAACAGGGAACAGCCCCCTCTGCCTTGGCCCTGGCCCAGGCCAGCTGAGAGCCAATGTACAATTTTGTGGTGGCCATCTATGCTGAAACATATTCAGTCTTAGCTCCATAAGCTCCCCCCCCGCATGGCTTGAGAGGAACAGTGAAGCTCCTCCAGTGGACCATGCCTTGGCACTTGCCCTGCTCCAACCCCCTTCTTCCAGAGACCCTCAGATTTATCCCACTCCTGCCCAGGCCCCCACAGGCACCTTTGATGCAAACGATGTAGAGCTGGCCACACCGACCCAGTAGGCCACACCCACTCCATTCACGCCCACCCATTAGGCCACATCCACCGTGGCCACATCCACCCGGCCCCCTGAGGGCAACCGCAATGTTGATGCGGCCCTCAATGAAATTGAGTTTGACACCCCTGACCTAGATCATGCCAGTTCATACCTTCTGGTATGCTTTTTATCCCTTTCATTCAAAATTAAATCTTTACCTTTACTTCCTGGCATGATTGATAGCTCTACTCCACAGATCACATCACTTTCATTTATGTAAATTGCATCTTTCCCATCTCTTCAAATTTCACTGAGACACAATATTATCTTTCTCATGTTATTCATATTGTTAATTCATGTTATATAATTCAAACCCAGCTTATTGCATCTGTAAGTATATGTCCTATGAGATTCAAGTATTGCAAAAAATGTCAACAATGGGCAGATGGCTTCCTTTCTCTAACTAACATACTGTTTATTTCATTTGTAGTTGCCTGTGACCCTGGAAGTTACAGCCCAAACAATGACATAACCTGCCAGCCTTGTACAAGCATCCGGATTAAACACTATGGAGCAAAATCCTGCTAAATAAATTCAAAATAAGAAAAGGAAATTGCTGCAAGGCATCTTGTTATCTCATCATTTACTGCTGTGTCATTGAGTCAAACTAGATGTTATGCTAAATTCAAGATTCCAATTGAAAAACAGTAGTTATGCATTTAGTTTGTTGTGTAGCAGAATTTATATCCCATGTTATTGGCAACTGATAACAGAGTATGAAAAATGCCAAACTTCATAATATTTAAACAACATAAATTCTACCAGTTGCTATGATCACTGAACAAGAAGTGAAATAGTTATCTTTCACAGCTAACAGCTAATTAGTCATGCTCTTCATGCGGTATGTAACTGAACTCTGGGATCTAATTCTCTATGCAATATTCAGTAATTCCATCTCTGAATATTATCACATTTGCACTGGTATAATTTTTGAAGGATCTGTAAAATAGTGCTGGGAAAGCAAAAATTGGAGGAAGCAGTTTGAATGCCTATTCCTAGACAGTGAAAAGCAAATCAAGATTAGTGAAGCAGGTATGGTAATTTAAAAGAAAGGTTTATTTAGTAGGAATTCAGAACATAGGCAGAAAAACCTAGCATCTACAAGGAGGAAATCTATGTTGGAGAGAGGAAAGGCAACATGGAAGATACTAAGACTGGGAATCTTGTAAACAAAGAACAGGTAGAGTAAGAAATAAAGAGGAAACAGAGGGAAATTCTCCTTATCTGTGGTCCACTGCCCATGGATAGCCATAATTAAAGAGTTAAAAGAGGGAGTATATCTGAACCCTCCTCCAAAATCTGCTGGGAAAGATTGTGGGTTTTCCACAACCAGGGCTCTAATAATCAAGAACCAGTAGATTAGTCTTGTTCTAATATTTGAAAAAAGGTTAGAAAGAAGGGAACACTATTGAATTTTATGTGCAAAAGTGTTATCTAGGCATTTGGGTAATTTAAATTTTAAAAACCTTTATTAGGAAAAATTTGACAAAGAATGGAAGGATTTAAAATTTAAAGGCATTTTTATTATCAGTTATACAATGTGGTAAAATGCATAGGAAGCTTCCATGTGATATGTTGCAACTATAAGTGGTTTTACACACACACACACACACACACACACACACACACACATTATTACATAGATTTAAAAAATTACAAGAAATTGCTGGTCTAAAACATTGGCTCACAAAATTAGACAACATTTATATGATTGGGCAGCAATATGAATTTGTTTAATAAAATAATTGTTTGTTGCTTCTGCAGGGAAGAGGAAGGGTGATGAGTTTCAACTGAGGTTTTAAATTTGTATTGTTGTTTGCTGCCCAGAATCATTTTGTGTGAAATAGGTGGCCGTATAAATTTGTTTAACAAAAATATAAAAGTGTGTGGACTTTTCATTGATTTTTGATTAATGTTAAATCTGGATTTTGTAAAATAGCATGTAGATAGTATGGGAAGCACAGAGGAAAACCTGTGCTTTCTGAATGGAAAGGTTGAGATCCGGTATTGGGGAGAGAAGGCAGAACATATCTGAATAGTCAATTTGAAGACCAAGTGTCTTCAAGTGTGAAGCTATATTTTTGTGATTTTTTTATCATATCTTCAGGCAATATCCAGGATAGATGTTTAAATCTTTTTCCATATTTTTTGAAAATTCACTTGGGTCAATTGAATTACAATTAATCTATCTGAAAAAAATTGGTTGACTGTCAGATAGAAACAAAGAATTGGAATGTTCTATGTCTCTTTGCTAACATCCAGTTGATATGCAGATTATTGCAGCTCATATCTGGATTCCTTAATTATGATTAAGGAATAATGTTCTATTCTCAAAAAATGAGAATTTGAAAGCCCTTATCCATATATTAGCTGGTTATTACTCTGGAAAAAGACTTTGTATCAGTAACATTAAATATCCAGAGTTAATTCTTTGATAAAGTGACTAAATTAGTAGACCAGCGAAACGCTGTGGACATAGTATACTTAGACTTCAGTAAGGCATTTGACAAAGTAGACTACAACCTGCTGCTTAGTAAGCTAGAAAAAAGTGGGATAACATCATCAGATGGATCGGTAGCTGGCTGACAAATTGTACTCAACAAGTAGCCCTCAATGGTACTACATCCACATGGAGAGAAGTAAGCAGTGGGGTACCACAAGGCTCCATCTTAGGCCCAATACTCTTCAATATCTTCATTAATGACTTAGATAAGGGAATAGAAGGGGAACTTATCAAATTTGCAGATGACACCAAACTGGCAGGAATAGCCAATACTCTAAAAGACAAGCTCAGGATCCAAAAAGATCTTGAAAAATTTGAACAATGGGCCCTATCCAGTGGTGGGATTAAATATGTGAATAACCAGTTCTCTGTGTGGATGCCACCTCTGGAAGTCCATTCTGGGCCTGAGCAACAAAAGATTGGCAACCAGTTCTGCCGAACTGGTGCGAACTGGCTGAATCCCACCACTGGCTCTATCCAACAAAATGAGTTTTAATGTGGAGAAAAGCAAAGTTTTACATTGAGGAAAGAAAAATCAAAGGTTTAAGTACAGATTATGCAAGATCTGGCTCAAAAACAGCAACTGTGAGAGGGACCTTGGGTTCCTAGTAGATGATCACTTGACTACGAGCCAGCATTGTACAGCAGCAACCAAAAAAGCTAATACAATCCTGGGTTGTATAAACAGAGGATAGAATCAAGATCACATGAAGTATTAGTACCGCTTTATAAAACCTTAGTAAGACCACACCTGGAATACTGCAACCAATTTTGGTCACCATACTACAAAAAAGATGTTGAGACTTTGGAAAAAGTTCAGAGAAGAGCAACTAAAATGATTAAAGGCCTGGAGACTAAAACATATGAAGAATGGCTGCAGGACTCGGGTTTGGCTAGTCTAAAGAAAAGAAGAAATAGGGGAGACATGATAGCAGTATTCCAGTATTTGAGAGGCTGCCACAAAGAAGAGGGGGTCACATTGTTCACCAGAGGACCAGAGGGAAGGATGAGAAACAATGGTTGGAAACTGATCAAAGAGAGAAACAACCTGGAATTAAGGAGAAACTTCCTAACAGTGAGGACAATTAACCAGTGGAACAGCTTGCATTCAGAAATCGTGGGTGCTCCATCACTGGAGATTTTAAAGAAGAGATTGGACAGTCACTTGTCTAAAATGGTATAGGTTCTCCTGCTTGAGCAGGGGGCTGGACTAGAAGACCTCCAAGTTCCCTTCCAGCTCTATTCTATTCTAAGTCTACAGAGACCACATAATAAAGTTGAAGGTCATCTAGACACATCCTCACACCCACAGAGGACATCATTGATGTGCTTTCCATCTTCTTTAAGATAGAAGCAAAGCAGGTCTCTTTGAAGAACTACAATCCTTACAGTATTTGTATTACTACATATCAAGAATGAGACTGGTAAAGTCACTGCATACACACAAGGATAGCAGCTTACACTGCCGCTCCCCTTCTAAAGAAATCACCTTTCGGCTATGTGAAAGTCTAGCCACACTAAGGCCATGTTGCAATAAGTCAGCAGAGTCATTCTAGTTGAGTGATCAGGCCCAAATGGGTAACAGGAATAAGAGCAGCAATCAGTATTTTTCTTTCAGAAACTTTCTCTCTGGCATTTGACAGTCATAGTACTCCCTAGTTGGTTTTCCACAAGATCATTATTTCCTTGGCTGAAAAAGAGAGATTTCCTGGTTGAGTTTTTTTTTTCTCCTAAGACAAAGCAAAAAAAAAAAAAGGCCACAGAAGAATAGAAACTCCTGACAGATGGGAGAGGGCATTCTCACAGTGGGCAAATTGCGCCTAATAGGACACCTCTTCCATTGGAAAAGTTTTCACCTAAGGTAGTTTTCTTCCATTTTCTGATGGGAAATACTACTTTTTTGCTGGATCACCTTCCTTTGGCTTCAGCCTCAGTGGGGGGGGGGAATCTGTTTTACAGCTATGTCCTTAACAAATTGAAGGTGAACTATCTTGAAGCTGGATTGGAGAATATGTAAATGTGACCTTATTCAGAAACCTGGGAGGCCAAAACAATATTTTCTCACAAATAAGTTAAAGGATTGTCTACCTATCTCTGAGCTGGCACCAGACAAAACTGGAATAACATTGTCATTGATCCCAATTCCTATTCTGTTTCTATGTATCAGTTCCTGTACTTTATCAATACCAAGGGGTATTTTCCCAAGTATGTGTGCCACTTGCTATAGACAAAATGTTTGGATTTTGTCCCCTGGATTTTCTGCTAACCCTCTGAAGCATATCACCAACCAATGGATAAAACATCTATCAATGGGTATTCTCAATACAAATAGAATGGGACTGATTTCAGGGCTCTATTCAGATTTCTCTACATTGTTTTCTCAGCCTTTCCTGCTACACTCCCTTTGGGCTTCTCCAAAATAAAGATATGGGAAGGCATCATAATGAAAATAAATTGGGCAGCTCATAAATTCTAGCGAACTGAAAACTGTTTGGCATTTTACTTCAAGGAGAGGGAGGGGCAGTGACTAAAACTGACAAATTCAGCAAAATGGCAAACAGATACAAAAACTCAGGTAAACCTTTCTTATTATTTTCTGGACACTGCAGTAATAGATAAAAATCACCTTTGATGTACAGATCTCCATTTCAGAATACCATCAGCACAGAACTGCACAAATATGTCTCCTTTTCTTCATACTTAAAATAGTGGATATCTGCTCATTTCACTGTGAGAATCTATTTGGGCAAATACACCTTCTTTTTTTGCTCTAATAACAGAGCAGAGGTCTTTTGTTCTCTTCTTTATTGGAAACCTGGAAAGAAGTTGATTTCAAAAAATGAAGTAGGGTGACAGGTAGTAAAGCAATTCAAGAACCAAAATAAAAATGGAAAGGGCAAACACCAGGAAAGAAAAAGCTGTGACAGATACTGCTAGTGATTGGAGGGATCAGGCACGCTTTCATCACTCCGAGACCACTTCACTGATCATGCCTACAAGAACTAACCTCATTTCCAAGTAATGGGTGACAAAGTATTACAGAATCTATGAAGAGACTAGACCAGCATAAGGAGGAGAAATACTCTTATAACAGAATATGAACAATTATTTATCTTGCAATCATGAGGGATCCTGAGGCATGAAATCATCATAATACACTGCAAGTAGGGATAGGACTTTCCAAATAAGTGTAAAAGATAATGGTAGGGCTGAAACTGGCTGGAAAGCATCTTCTCAATCTGGAATGTGCTATTTATTTTTTCCAAGTTTCTTGCTGAGTCTGGAAGTCAAACAGACTGGGGCATTTTACTCTCAGTTGAAATTGTAATGAAGCTCATTACATAGGTCACGTGTAAGGCAGCTGCTGATCATCATCCAAAAAGAAGGTGGATAAAGTATTTGCTGCTAGTTTCAGGTATTACCATTTCTGAAATCAAATCAGTGCCTTGGTGATGCATCAAGGGAAGGCCCTGGAACCTGTCTCTTGGAATTGTAATATTTAGGAATTCTCTCACTTCACAAATAATTCTAAGCTAGTGGTGAGATACCAGAAGAACCCTTCTCAATGTAAAAAAAATCATTTTGGAGCATATTAATAAATACATTTAAAGTAATACATTTTATTTGAACAAAACTTTTCAATTTATGTTGTAATAATAAATTTCACACAATACAAATGGCAACTTCATGTTGAACTCCTGGCTGATTTTTACAGAACCCTTGGGTTCCAGGAAACAGAATTTGAAAATCACAGCTCTAAGCCATATCTTTTGATGTGTAGACTGACCCACTGTGATCTGAGAATTCTAGTTTTGTGTTGAAGTCATTACGGCTCTTCAAAAATTATGTTTAACAACAAACCATGATGTATAATAGAGGATGATCAATGAGCCTAATCTCTGACTATGGTCTTTGAAGCTAAGCTTTTATTGGATTTTTAAAAATTTAACAGTGTGCTAATTAGGAAAGATTTTTCTCTATCCTTTTATCTGAGGCTCATTAGTATAATAGATGAAGTCAGAAATAAACATGGTTAGTTTGGTACACCAAACACATCTACACTGCTGGACAATAGCAACAATTACAACTTCCAGTTATAGTAATTGGATGTCAATACCATTTGAAAAGTAAATCCATTTTATTTTATTTACTCTTCTCATCACCTCCTCCTATGATATATGAAAACCTATGGAGTGAGTATCATAAGCTTGTAACACATAAAATGAATGAAATGTCCACACATAAAATTAGTGAAATGACCAATCAAATACAATAGTTTTATTTATTTATATATTTGCTTATTTGTTTATTTATTTGTTTGTTTGTTTATTTAAAATAGCTAACCATCTCACAAGACAGCAGTTCTGGGCAGCATACAACATTGCTAAAACAGTTAATAAATACATTAAAATATACAAGTAAAGTAAAACAAAGAATAATAGATGACAGAATGTTAAAAATAATGGAGCCACCTCATTGGTCCACCTACCGCCTGATGTCCAAGCCTGCTGGTGTAACCAGGTCTTGAAGGAAACTCCATAGAGACAAGGCAAACCTCACTTCAGTGGAAAGAAGACTCCACAGTAAAACAAAGTTGCCACCCACGTCCCCCCTCATCACCACCAAATGTAGCTCCCTAGATAATGGAACCTGTAACATACACTTGGATCAGGTTAGTATGGGCAGATAAAATGAGGAAGGGGCAGTCCCTTAAATCAGGGATCCCCAACCTGTGGGCTGCAGCCCATACCGGTCCGTCGCCTATTCACAACTGGGCTGTGTGAATGGCTGGCTGGTGCAGGCGCATGGGCACGCACAGCCCCTCTCATGCAAGCATCGCAGGTGCTTGGGGCTTCATTCGCAAGAGCATCGCAACAGCTCAGGGCCTCACTCGTGCAAGCATCGTGGGTGCTCAGGGCCTCACTTGCATGAGCATTGCAGGGGCTTGCGGCCCCACTCACACAAGCATCATGGATGCTTAGGGCCTCACTCACACAAGTGTCATGGGTACTCTCGACCCCACTTGCGCGAACGTGAGCGCACCTGCCCCTCCCACAAAACCATCCTCTTTTTCCCCCTCCCCCTCTCCAGGCCGCCAACCTGGAAAGGTTGGGGAACTCTGTCTTAAATAACTCTGTCCCATATCATGAAGGGCTTTAAAGGTCAATTTAAGCACCTTGAATTGGATCTGAAAACAAACTAGTAACCAATGTGGCTCACAAAGCAGAGATATCACCAGAAACACACATAAGTGCTCACACTGCTGTACTTTACACCAGCCTGAAGTTTGCAGATACTTTTCAATGGCGGCCCTATGTAATTGTTCCTCAGTTTTTTCCAAGACTCTTGCAATAATCAAAATGTAGTTAATTTAAAATCTAACTTTGAACATGCTCAAGCCCCTTAGCCATAAGGATGCAACTCATCCTTAATATAGGAAATATTATAATATAGGAAAATATATAACATAGAAAAATTACTGAAAATTGTAGGCAATCAGGTGGGAAACTTCTCAGCAGCTAATATCCACAATTTCTTACTTCTCGTTATTTCCTACAAGGAAATAGGAAATATCAGCCTATCTAAAACTGAAGAGGTGTTTTGAACCGCTAAGTACTATTTTTTAAAAAATATTAGTTTTAGTTCAGTCTGGTGGACCTTTTGCAGTCACAAAAACATTGTCTTTTTAGAATCTGTATTGGTTCCTCCTTCATCCTCTTAGGATCTTCAGGGCAGACAAGCTGGAGTACAGAGCAGCCAGTTCTGAGCAGGCATCATTATTCCACTGGCAGGTGATGGAATTTTCCCCAACTTCTAAATCTAGCCCACAGATTTGCAGCATATCAAGGTTCAGATCAATTTCCTCCTCCGTCAGGGAATGGGATGGAAGAGTGAAATTGCCACATTCTTCACCAGAAAGAATCCTTTCCAAAATCTTTAGAAGTGAAGCAGGAGAACAAATGAGAGAGAAAAGGAAAAGAAGGGGTGGGAGAGAAAGAGAATGAAAAGACCAATTTACAAATGCAAGTAACTGGCTAGTCCGAGATAGAATCAATAGAAACTGCAGCAATAATCACGAGATCTTCTCCTACTTTTAAATTTCGGATTGGGCAGCTCATTATCACCCAGGCCAGTCATGATTCCAAATCACAAATGCTGAAACCGATGGAGACCTCCTCTTTTGGATCTCTTGTACAGCAGCCTTTTCCAAATAAATCTTTTGGATTGCAACTGAATAATCTTTTTAAACGTAATTTAAAAACAAAGGAGACATAATCTAATTACTGGATGGGACAGACAGATCCAGTATATAACCTCGGTGTTCTGGACTTACAACTCCTACTCAAAGAATAGCTGGCAGGCTAGGAGAGCTTTTGCTCAACTTCATGCTGTGTGCACCAGTTATGCCCTTTACTGGATAGGGAGGCTCTTCAGTCAGTCACTCACACCCATGTCATATCCCATTTGGACTATTGCAATGGAATCTATATGGGGCTATCCTTGAAAAGTATCCAGAAGCTTGAACTGGTACATATTGTGACCTCATGGGAAATTGTGGGTGCCCCAAGGATGGCACATGTAATATCTCTTCTGTGCAAGCTACATTGGATGCTGACTTGCTTCCAGATCCAATTCAAAGTGCTAATTATAACCATTACAGTCCTACATGGCATGGGGCCCAGAACCATCTTTGCCCCATTAGATCAGCCCATCCGCCCCCCACCCTCAGCTCAAGCATGAGTCCCAACAGTTAAAGAATGTGGACTTGCAGAGTGCAGGAAGAAAACTTTATCTGCCATTGCCCCCACCCTGTGGAACATTTTTCCTCCAGAGGTGAGGCAGGCTCCCACCCTCCTGACCTCAGAAATATCTAGAAATTTGGCTCTGATGTCTTGTTCGGAGCTCACAGAGATGCCTACAATGATGAAACTAGTTAACCTCTTGAAGGCCTCCCCCTGCTTTTTTAACTTTAAATTTTAACTTTTCCTTCTAATGTAATATTTATGCACAGTTTTATGTTTTTATATTTTATTTGTACACGTGCAGGGTTCCTCTGTGAGGGAGATGAATAGTTTCTAAATTCAATGAATGAGTGGGTGAATGAATGAATGAATGAATGAATGAATGAATGAATGAATGAATGAATGAATGAATGACCTGCATTTCATGCTTCCTTTAAGCTTGAGGCCAAGGGCAAATAGTCCTTCTTTAGTCCTCTTTGCCCCGGCAGATCATTTCACATGGCTTTGTATTTAATTATATTGAAGGACGAAACTCACACACGCCTGGCCTTCAAAGCAGTCTCCCTGCCAACATCCCCAAGCCACTGCACAGAAATTTCAAGTCTTCCAACTTTCACCATCAAATCAGTCCTAAGTATAATATGAAAGTCCTGCCAAACATGGAAAATAACCTATGACTGGATCAGGACATGCTACGTGGAATTCCATGCAACAAACTGGAGCCTGGGAAAACCTGCCTGCCATTTTTTGCTTCTTCACCAGAGCTGACAATTTCTAGCCACACTTTTGACTCATTGCTTTCTCAGCAGGAGCTGTGGTTCTTAAAAACATAATAAATGAAAACAATGTTTGGAAAAGGGATTCGGCATATGGCAGAAAAGCTTCTAGTGACCACAAGGGTACTAGGATGCCTAATTTACAAAGAGAGCATTTCCCTTTTAACTGAGAATCAATATCTTCCAAGGAATTGGCACATTTCTGCCTAAATGCACCCTTACATAAAACCTCAATGGAGTTCTGACGAAGAACATCAATTTTGGCTACCTGCTATCTTAGGCATGCATGTTTGGTATGAATTTGAAAAAGCATTGTATATTACAGCAGATTAGAAAAAGATAACAGCAAAGAATTAAGGGAATAAGAGCTCACCATATCCATTGGTTTGGCCAGTTATTTCTTTTCCAACATTTTCTGTAAGAGGAGCATCATCTCATAGTCCAAATCTATTAATGCAAAAACAGAGACAAGTATCATTCATACCATGATGTTGTCACATGTGAAACTTATCTACACTCATTTTTCTTCTTCTTCTTCTTCCTGATACCTCACAGTTTTTTGTTGCCTCCAGAATATAAATTTTTTCCCAAAGCCTCTTTTATTACTTCTTTGCTACTGATCGTAGTTTCTGTTGCAGAACCAACTTTACAGCATTACTCTTTCTTCACTTCAGACTTGGGATGACAGAAAGGATTTGTGGGCAAGGAATTTACAAATGTGCTCCATTCCTCTTCTTTGATAACAGAAATAGTAAGTTAGACTTTCAGATGAGTGGAAAGTCTTATTTTTCAGTGGGCATCCACATAAAACTTGGTACTGTATTTATTAAAACAATCATAGAGCAGTAAGTGCTGTGAACAACAACAATCAGCTGGTACAACTGTGCCTTGGCAACTAGGAGGCCTGGATGTAGAATCAACCCTAGAGGGATTCAGAAGTAGCTAGGAGTTCCATTTTTCTTTCTTTCTTTCTTTCTTTCTTTCTTTCTTTCTTTCTTTCTTTCTTTCTTTCTTTCTTTCTCTTTCTTTCTTTCTTTCTTTCCTTCCTTCCTTCCTTCCTTCCTTCCTTCCTTCCTTCCTTCCTTCCTTCCTTCCTTCCTTCCTTCCTTCCTTTCTTTCGCCAGCCAGCCAGCCAGCCAGCCAGCCAGCCAGCCAGCCAGCCAGCCAGCTAGCCAGCCAGCCAGCCAGCCAGCCATAGTATGTCTGGAGAGCCAATACAAATAGAACAGTGTCGATCTGTATAATAAGTGCCCAGATCATGTTGCTCCATTTTATAAATATATTTATCTAATGGCAGTGGTTAAAAATATGACAAAGAAACAGCACAACTCTTTGAACCAGGCTGAAAAGTTTGTGTTGAAATTCAGGCCGGGCAGAGGCAGTTTGGGGGGAGAAATTGGATTAGCCAAACTTAATCTTATAGTAGGATATATGCAGAAGAAAGTATGGCTAATTGTATTTCTTCCATATTTAATTTAACTGCTTCAGACTTCTCATTTGAAAGTCACAAAATCTACTGAATTACAATTTACAGATTATAGTTCTTATATATATATACATTACATTGAAACAAATTGCTATAAATTGTGCATGAAGTGCTGAAGAAGTCATACAACAGCAACATTCAAATGTCTCATCAAATGACCTGCTAAGTTCTGAGCCAGATGCAGGCATACCTTCAAAGCTTGAAAAAGCCAAGAGCACCATATAACTACAACAACATCCAAACAATATTTTCTTGTGCCATCTATAGAAGAGCAAAGGAAGTGCATTGGTTCCCAGAGATCTTGGTTTTCTCCTCTCTTAGTGTCTTGGAAAATCCCTAAGTAGGATAGCAGCATTTTCACTGGAACTCAGAGTTCCTCATTCAATGACTCCAACACGGAGCGATCAGCATTGTCACCTGCCATGGAAGGCTCCAGCTGGTGGGAGAAAATTTATAGCAATCAGTCAGTCAGGTAGGAGTGAAATAGAGATTTGCCACATAATAAACCCAGTATGGTTATGCCCATGTGGTGTAGTGATTCAGACCTGACCTCTGCCATGAATGTTTGATAGATGATTTGGGACCAGTTACTATATCTTAGTTCAATCCTGCTCACAGGGATGTTGTAGGAAAAGAATTAGAGGTAGGGAAGCATGCAATGTATACCACCTTGAGCTCCAAGAGGGGAAAAAAGGATATAAATTTAATAAAGAAATGAGTAAATGTTCACAAATTTTGAGAATAATTATGTCCTGCTATGTAGCAGTCAAATGGTTCTTGGAACATATTTTCAGAGGAACTGAGAAAATGCATCTGGGTAGAAGTAGGCTTGGAGTAAACAGGCAAAAGATATGCAGTTAAAAATAGGAAGTTGGAGCAAAGTGGTAGTACTGGTGATAGAGACTTAGACTAAACATTCAAGCAGAAATTAATCTGGACAGGATTCCACACATACCAATCTAAAGAAGCAGCAAAAGAACTTGAGGAGACCTGAGATAATGGAATGGACTGTGCCTCTTCAAACAGCTTCAAAAAGCACGAGGAGAGATCCTGTCTTTCCCTGTGTAAAAATGATCCTGCAAAAAAAAAAAAAAGAGTAAACTTAACAGGGAGAGTTTTTATCTAGAGCCTTTCCCCCTGTTTCATAATTTGTATTGATATGCAGGATTGATTTACTTATATACCTGATTTTCCAATTCATAATTATATTGATGGACTTATTTATGTACGGTACCTCATTTTAATATCACCCTAATCAATCATGGGTGGTAAACAATAAATATATACATAAACAATCCATAAATAAAAACTCAAAACAGAATAATATAATTAAACATTCTTCTTCAGTTACCATCTATTCACTTAAAAAAGAATTTTTAGGATATTCTGGGAGATCAAAAACAAAGGGGCCAGGCCTATTTCTGGGACAGCATGATCCATAATCTGGGGAAAAAAAATCTACTTTCTGACTTACTTTTAGTTTACTTAATAGTAACAACTACAACTACCGGTAGCAATAGAAATTCATGAAAAAATCCTATTTGTGGAGAATTCTTTCTGACCTTAGAAGGAGGCTGATTTGTACTGACAGAAGGGTGTATTTTCAAAAATCGTGTCTCCTACTCATGCCTAAAGCAGTACAGACTACATATTTGCTTCAAATATGATAACCTCATTCTGCTCCATGTGCAGCTCTTGGGATATTCTCCTCCTTGGGCAACATCCCAAAATATATTAAGTGTTTTCAGAGCATCATCCAGCCATCCTTAACTGATGTAAAGCTCATTCTCACTATTGTTATTTTAACCTAATGGCTGTATGAATGGAAGATGCTCATGGAGAAATGACTTAAACAGTCTTCCAAATGCGCTGTCACTACAGTTCACAGACTAGCTGAGAATGGTGATACCTCTTTTCCCAACACATCCAGAAGATATGTGTTTGGAGCAATCTGCTTGCAATATCAGGAAAAGGGTAGAGGGATGACTGACATAAGGCAAAGGGATGGAGAAATAAAGGAATGATGGTGGTTGTTATAAGAAAAGTAGGAGGAGGAAGGATTATTACAAATATTCACCTGGTTGAGTTATTTATAAAAATGATAAAGGCAAGGTACAAGTCTAATAAATAAATCCATATTTACACAGGATGCTACAACACAGGTGAAGAGCTCTAAGTCATCAAACAGCCAAAAAAAGGAACATACCATGGATCGTACAGTGGAAACATTTCTGTTCTGTAGGAAAATCTCAAAGGATTCCAAAAGATTCTTCTTCAAAGGCTGGGTCTGGCATAACAGTGGCTCATATGCTTCCTTAACTGCATCTTGCACTTGCTGGACAGCTAAAGATTATTGGCTTGGTTAAGATTATGAGCAGCATCATTTCAATTGAACTTTTAGTTTTAAAAAAACCTAGAGAACACTTTGTACAACTGCCATGACCCATATTGTTGGGTCTCTGTGTACCACCTAACTGGCACTTCTGATGGAGAGACATTACTGATTTTATTGAAGAGATCTGCACTATTGGGGAGATAAAACCCAATAGTGAATCAAAATTCGGTAATAACTTGCCTGTGAGTGAAGATCCCAGTTCACTCTGGAATGCTAAAATGAAAAGAGGAAAATAAATATTAGATTGAAATTAAGCAGAAGAAGAAACTGAAGTATTCCTTCTTTGGAAGAGGTGAAGGAAGAGTAACATTAGGACATACTGTTTACTCAACGTTATTTTTTTATTGACCCAGAGCCAAAAGATTAAAAATCTCCAAGCTTCAACCCATGTATGGAGAAGGTTCAACAGAGACATATATAATACTAGTAGTTATCCTGTACAAAGAGACACAAATTAGGTGGAGAACCTGTGGTTTTCCAAATGCTGGTAAACTATAACTCCCAGAAATTCCTTACAGCATGGTCAGTAATGGGAAGTGCTAGGAATTATAGTTCAGCAACATTTGGAGGGCCATTAATGCCTCAAGAGGAAAGAGATAAAAATAAAATATAATATTCAATATAAAGTCCACCTCTTGCATATTTGTGATAGCCCAAGTACAAGCCTTGTGACATTACTTCATAGTGTCATTCATTAAGCTAGCTATGTGGAAGGCCATAGTTTTATTATTCTTAAAATACTCTTGCACATTGTCCCCCTTTAATTGGAGACTGTAGGGCAACTATGAAGGTGTAGTTCCATGCTACATTTGGATGACTAGACTAACGGGAGCATTTTGTTAACATGGAAACCCAGACATCTTTCTGTCTCTTTCCTCCTTAGCCAGACTTCATACATCATGCAAATCCACTTAATTTAGCTATGATTTATAGAATTAACCCAGTTTCCTAATCACTTAATGGTGTTTGGTGACTTCACATCATATATTGAGCTATAAACTAATCAACAACATTATAGTCTAGGATTTTCTTTTTGCAAAATTAACCTTTTACTCACAGTTAAAACTCATCTTGTGTGATCTTTGGTTCACAGATCTATCTTGTTTATTTATTTATTTGCTCAGATAGCTCCACAAACAATCATGCATTTTCTAATTTTCATACACATATTTTGTAAGCCTAGATATTAAACATACCATCATAAGTGGGTGAGGGAACCAACATTGTCTGAAACCTCTGGTTGAGATAAACTACAGGAAAACAAAAATGCAAAGAAATTAGAACGAACAGAAAGATGCCTGATCTTTAGTATAGCAAACAAATCAGCCCAACATTTTTCACTCACTAGGGTCTTCTTCACAGATTTGTAATTTCTCAACTCCATATGCCATCACTGTACCAAAAGGAATTAGCATGGATTTATTTTTCATTGTCGTGTGTTGACCCTGGAGATTTGAGCACAGGATGTTAAGAATGTCTTATCCTAAACCAAATCACAGATTGTGAAGGAAGCAAGCTAGCAATCCATAGGCATTCTCATCATCTTATAGAAAACAGGCAATGATGATTCCACACTTATGATCATTCATAAGTTTTCTAACTGGAAACTCATAGCCCTAAGGTTACCAAATGGAGACAAAAGAGTTCTGCCAAAGATCATGAGAATGCAGCCTACACCCATCTACTTTTCAGCTATGGCCAGCCAGGAACCCCTTTTATCTAAATGTAAGTAGTGAGCACTATTCCAGCAGACCTCATTACATTCACTTTGGAATACAGTAAATGAAATAAATGTTCATTCCATTTTCTTTATTCAGTGCATCTGCTTATGATGACATGTACTTTCCAAAATCTCTTTTTCCTACAAGTCCATTCTATACACACACATGAACACACATGAAAAATAAAGCTACAATATACTGTTACACAAGTGTACTAATCCTTCTGCAGTGAATCTTTATGCTTCCAGTTTGCCTATTCCTTACATTTCAGTCTGCCACATTATTGATTGTGCTCCCAAAAGCTGTCAGTCAAGGGCTTCCCTGTGTGCTATAAGGCAAGGGCATATATACATATGTAATACCAGGAGCCATTTTTGGTCTTTCATGTCATACCATGCTCCTAAAAGCAGAAGACCCAAGATCAAAAGAAACAGGTCATATGCTATTCTCCATGCATTAAACATGTTTCCTAGAAACGTTTTGTTCAAGTGAAGCTTAATATTCATCTATATAGGATTGGCTTTTATTTTGTTTTGCTTTGGCCACTGTGGCAAAGTGGTTTGCTATAGCCTTTCACTGTTTTTTTTTTTTACTTTTTTTACGGTCTTGGAAATTCCTGCTGATCTCCTGTCCTGTAGGCTAGGCCTAGCCTTCTTTAGCTTTTCAAGGTCAGCCCAGTTAAACTGTTACTACTTAAATAAACCATTTCCTTCCTAACCTCACATTTTAAATTAAGTTTGATGGCAGTTACAAAGGCTCTAGGGGCTGAGCTCATGTTTTGGTCAGAGAGCTTGTGCATCTTATTCCTATGAAAAAGATAAAATACTTCATCAGCAAACCCATTACTGTTGATAAGCAATCAACTCCTCTTTAAGGAATGATTCTGCAGTGCTTTTAGCCATTAACGTGTTCATTTAAAAAGCAAGAAACAGCAAAAAGATGAAGCCAAAAATGATAACCACACCTGGATCTTAAGTATGTCCACTGCAGAAACTTCCCCCTTGCCACCTATCTGGACAATCTCTTCAATGAGAAAGGGCTCCGTTATCTCCAAAACCTCTGTCACAATGTACAAATGGAGTTTAGGGTAGATCTGCTGGAGAACACTGAGAGAGATACCTCTCTTCCTACAGGCAAAATGCAAGAAGGTCAGAGCTGCAGTTCTTTCAATGAGGTCAGAGTTCTGGAACTTCTGTTGCTATTCCTGGAAACTTTATTCTATGCTGTGGGACCATCCAAGGCTTCAGAATGAAATCCTTCCACCTAGGCTAGGACTGGCCTCGAGCACTTTACTATCTGCAGTAATGGGTATAGTGGATAAGAAAGTTCTCCTTTCTACAACAAACTGTTCCATTTTAGATGATGCCCTGAAAGAAACAAGTTGAGCTAAGCTCAGCTCCACATTTAACTACCCTGTCCTCAATTCCTCCCATTTCACAACTCCTTTACCTAAAAGGAATGGCATTATTGGCCAGCAGAAACAGTTTTCAGCAGATTGAGATCAATACAGAAATGCCTGAAGCACCAGAAAGGAGACTGGGAAGGATGAGAGGTGAGGAACCCCTGCCTTAAGTGGAGACAGAGCATAAAGAAAGGGAATACATCAGGACTCTAAATTAGGACCAAAGCAATTTCTCTACCATTCCCTTCCCTAAGTATAAAGGCTTTTAAAGACTTATTGCTCTGTGTAACAGAATCCTTGTCGCCCCCATTTTGCTTGTTTTCAACAAGCTGCATTATTGAGTCCTGGGAGCTAGGACCCTAAAACTCAGACAACTGGCAAAACTTCCCATTTTCTTTTCTGATCCTTCCCGTCACCTAAGGCCACAGAAATGCTGAGGGAAACTGCCTTGACTGATCTTCACTGAATTTCCTCTATACAGTGGGGAGTTTGATGTGTTTTAGACAGGCTATTCAAATGAAAATCAAGATGATAAAGCCCTCTCACAAGTCACCCTGAATGTTATACACCAGTACTTTTGCCTGAATGAGTCCCAAGAGATTTATAGGAGTTCTGCCAGGGCACCATAACTACCACTCATTTCATTGCAATTCATAAAGTTTCCAAATAGATTGCAGCAGATAGGTCAAAGCCATTTATTTATCCCTTTCTGCTGCTTTTAATAATACCAAAATCCAATTGCCCCTTTGTGCTTCGTGGTTGGATTATGAATGTTTTTGAGACATTTTTTTACAATTCTCAGGAATGTTAACTACTTAATAATCAGTTCCCATTCTTCCATTCTTGTCAGACCCTTGTGTAATAATAAGCAAAGCCATATTCACCACAGCTCTCCTGGGTCCACATAGGTTTTTCTAAGATGTACTGGAGAGGCATTCAAGCAAGCTAAGGCCAGTCCACCAACATCTACTTCTGTAGACCGTATCTTAAAATTCAGCCGTCCTCCAGATTTATGGCATGTATTAGCAGAAAACAAAAGTGGCTCAGAATGTTTCAGTTCTAAAAAAAAAAGGAAAGCAAGCAAAATACAATGCTCAAAATATAGTCTAATTGTTTTGCCATGGTCAAACCCACTGGAGCAATGCTTACACATTTTTCCCTCTCTTTTGTATGCCCGGATTCCTTTCAAATAAGAAATAACCACAATTCACTGAATTCATATATAACACTGGCTCTGGCTTAGCAAGTTGCATGAATCTTGCCACTGTGATTTGTAAATCCTGATTTATGTCTTAGTGCAATGTTTGCATGTAGGATTACATCTGAATCTGGAAAACTACTGCAAAGGCTTGGTCTTCAGATCAAAAGAGGAATCTATACAGACTGTACAAAATCTGTGAGCCTGATGCACAATTTGGGTGTGGTTTCTGACCACTGTGTTTCTTCTTTGGTCCTAGGGCTCCCAGAAAACTGTCCAGACAGAATTTATCTAGAATGATGTCTATGAATTAATTTGAACAAGAATACCTATTTCCATTATTGCTTCTTCTTGGAGTATGTCTGCCAGTTTGAAAGAGATTGGGGAATACTTTCTATTGTTCCAAGGCCATCTATAGGGCTTTTTAGTCACCAAAGAGAGAAGCTGAAAGCCATCATTTTGTGCCAGGCTGCTCACAGGAATCAATTTCCCATCAGAATCCAGTTCTTGTATAAGCTGTTTGGCCAGCTTTTTAAACATTTTTTCCACCAATGGACAAATGGAACAGAAATGGTAATGGCAAGGAGATCTTGAACAATCTGAAAGAAAGGACAAAATAAATCAGCAGCAGCAGCAGCATCCTGAATCAATCCATAGCAGGGTGAAGTCATATTACTACTGCTGCTGCTGCTACTGCTACTGCTACTGCTACTGCTACTACTACTACTACTACTACTACTACTACTACTATTATTATTATTATTATTATTATTATTATTATTATTATTATTATTATGTTGGAAGGGACCTTGGAGGTCATCTAGTCCAACCCCCTGCTCAGGCAGGAAACCCTATACCATTTCAGACAAATGGCTGTCCAGTCTCTTCTTAAAAACTTCCAGTATTGGAGCATTCATAACTTCTGGAGGCAGGTTGTTCCACTGATTAATTGTCAGGAAGTTTCTCCTTAGTTCTAGGTTGCTTCTCTCCTTGGTTAGTTTCCATCCATTGCTTCTTGTCCTGCCTTCAGGCACTTTGACTCCCTCTTCTTTGAGATATTGGAACACTGCTATCATGTCACCCCTCGGTCCTTCTCTTCATTAAACTAGACATACCCAGTTCCAGCAACCATTTCTTATATGTTTTAGCCTCCAGTCCCCTAATCTCCAGTCTACTTCACTGAGTAGATCATAATCCACCACACTTATCCAGTGCAAATTGATAGATATTTTTTTTTACTTTGCACTGTAAGGTTGAATCAGAAGAGTTAACCTAAGTCACCCAATTAACTTCTGATACATGCATACACAGACACAGATCCACAAGTTTTCAAATCTGTCATATTAGTAGAGTTCAGGAGGAGAGGATTGCTTGACAATTAAAACAATGCACAGGAAACTCCAATATAGCTGTGAACAAGTCTATACTCAATTCTAAAGAGAGAAAAAACTCCCCTCTCCTCTTGACTGGGGACAGATAGTGAAAACTCTAGTTTTATCAGGACAAACAGGGCATTTTGTTTCCCCCATAGCTATAAGCACTCTCATCTTCAAGAAACCTCCCTGACATGATCTTTCTGCCCATGGCTTGCCCTAACCATCCCATTTCCTTTAATCTATTTTTTTAGTTTCAGACTTTTCTAGCAGAAATTGACAAGTATCTACTGTTGAGAAAATTAATGTCATCAATCAATGTTATATATCTGTAACTTTCACTTATTAAAATAAAAATAAACAAATATATCATATGCATTCTTATACAATCCATGATTAAAGGTAACACAAAATTGCAGATCTTTATCCTTAAATTAAATGAACTTAATTTTTTTAAATTTCTCTTTCTCATGATGCCTAACTGAAGCTATCCCAAAAGCGCTTTTTTTTTCAAAAGGCAACTGGACTTTATTTTTTCCTTGAAGACATTTTGCTTTTCATCTAAGAAGCTTCTGAAGCTGAAGGAGCTTCTTGAACGAGAAGCAAAACATCTTCAAGGAAAAAACAAAGTCCAGTTGTTGTTTTTGAAAAAAAGCACTTTTGAGACAACCATGACCTAGAAACTCCATAGACATATGACTGAAGCTATGACATTATGGGAAATTTTAAATGACAAGTGTTTTAAAGCAGATGGCTCTAGTGTTGTTTCCCAGAAGCCAGCTGCCAGTAGTAAAATTTTATTATCTGCATTAACTAATCTGGGAGCCCATCAGATAGGAGCTTATTTCAAATATAAAGCTGTTCTGAATGTCACCTTTGAGAGTGAAGAATTTACGCCATAGAATTAAACTCATAAACCATTATTCACAACGGCTCGGAGTTATTGTTGCAACACAGTTGAAAGGTTGTTGTAGTTATGTCTCTGTAGGAAATTCTGAGTTTTGATAGGTGTCACCAAATACACTACCATGGATTCTTTAGAGTAAGATATATTATTATAGCAAAATGTATATAATGAAAGGAAGATATATTCTCTGGAATATGGGCTTTAAAATCTCCATATAGTGCTCTATCTATCTATCTATCTATCTATCTATCTATCTATCTATCTATCTATCTATCTATCTATCTATGTACTGTCCATCTATCTGTCTGCCTAGCTATCTACTTACCTACCTACCTATCTATCATCTATCAAATTTGTATGCCACCTTGGCTGTGATTTTGTCAAGCTCTTGAAATGTGGAGAGAATTAACCTCAATAGTACTCTTACATCACTATTGTTTGAGATTGTTCCTTTAACAGGCTCAAATTAAGTCTTACCAGACTTTAGAAAAAAATATTTTCCCATTGCCTGGGAAAAAGCAAGACTATTTGTCTTAGTATTCCTAAAAGCTACCTGGTTCCAGAGCTATAAAGGAAGATAATTAGCCCATTTCTTAGTATCTTTGGAATTAGATAAATATGTCTTAGCCTTAGATTCAATTTTGTATGTAATATTTATTAAATATTTTATTCAGGCTCTTTTATCTAATACCAAGTTCAGATATATGTATAACTTGCCTTTGGACCTTTGGGCCATAAATGAAATTGATTTGTTCAGTTTCCTTGTTAGCTTTCTGGTCATCTGATATTGGTTGCTACTGGGCTGGTCTTTGCTTCTTATAAACAGAAGGATTTCCCGGCTTTTGAAAGTGTCCCATTAATTCTCCCAGAATGACTATATTCTCTATCTTTGAGAGATAGGCAGGATATTTGCAGAAATGGTTTAAAAATCTTTCTTAGCCAAGGTGCATTTATTATCAATGTTTTAAAGGCAAGATGAAAAGCAAAGAAGCATCATTAATTATTAATAATTATTTAAATGTAATTAATCAATGTCAGCTCCAGTTAATAATAATAATTACAATTCATATGGGTTGGATCTGGAATTATCCATATTTAGAACAGATTCTTGAAATTAGTTCTACTGAAGATGATCATGATATCAACAGATCTATCTAAATAGGACTAAACCTGAATCCAGCATGTTTGACATTTGGCTATTCAAAATACTTAGTGTTTTGATATATATAAAACAGGTAGGATTATCTTTTAGCTAAATTCTCTCCTAATTACTTGGTAGCTTCTAAAATCCAACCATTGTAATGAAGACAATGTTTATATTCCTTCAGCTATTGCTGGGTGATGCTATGAAGATGCTTATAAGCAATAAATGGAGAAATAGCAAGTCCCATTAGGAATTACTTGAATACCTGTGCCCAGTTTGAACTTTTGGAGACAAAAGGAATCCTCATTATATTCAAAGACTTTAGTCTTCATAGATGTGCGCAAGACTATAGCCTCTCCTATTATCCTAGTCAAGTTCAGTTTTCCATTCATTTTATTGCTATAAAAAATTAAAACTGAAATATTGTTTCAAACATCATATGTGAAGAATTTACACCTGGTGGTGAAAACAAAAGGTTATGCTGATGAAAATAGCATATGAACAACTTCACTAATGATTTCCACTTAAATTGTTTGGTGCAAAAAAAGTTGTTATTGGAGGAGATCAAAGTGTGCCTCTAAATTTACTCATTTCATGGTTGAAACTAGTCTCTTATTTCCTTTTTTGCTAGTGCTCTGATGCTATTTTGAATTCTTTAGAATTCTCCCTAAAGAACACATAGTCAATGCAGTAACACCATGCCACTATATTACCACTCTGATCCAACTACAAGAACACCAAAGGCAATTAAGAAACACAACAAAGCTAATTCCAGAAATAGGCAATGTGTGCTGTGCAGCTTCACTCTTATTAATAAATTCAAACGTTTTCCTTATTTGAATATTTTCACCAAAAAGAATCAAGTTTGTAGTGTTGTCCAACATGTATCCCCAAATGCTCCCTGCTCTGCTTTTGCTCGAAATGTCAGAGGCATATGCATCAAGGTTTACTTTGGCAGTTTGTGCAAATTGAACCAATTGTAGTTTACTGAAGAAACCATGGTTAATCTAATCATGTCTTAGAGCAATATATGTCCTCAGTCACTCTTTTCAGCCTTAGATAATGGACAGCATAGAAGCAGCCTTCTTTGATGGCCTTTAAAGAATAATTGTTGACTTACCTAAACTGCAATGCCTTCAGGTTTCTTCTGAGATTTACCAGTGCTCTTTGTTTAACAAGAATAAATCTGATGTTGAATTTAGCAGAATCTGTGCAGGAGCAATCTTTCAGATGCCACCACAGGTTGAAATGAATTATGAAATAAAATGCTGGCTTCTTATTTTCTGGTAAGAGGAGGAAGTTAAAGCTTCCGACACCCATAGTCACTTTCTTCCCCTTTCCCTATGACTCACACAAAAAAAAACTAGTATTCATCTGTGCAGGAGATTACAAGAGGGGATGAATGTGGTTTGTTTATCTTAGGGTGAGAGAGTTCAAAAGTGCCAAGGTCCAAGCTGACCTCAAAATCACTCTTTCACCTAACCATGATTTTCCCTGACAATCATGTCAACCAAATGGGTAGAGGATGAACCCTGCTGTGGTGACATTGAAAACTGCACAGGCTCAAAAAACTGAAATTCCAGCCATGTTTTCATTATCATTGGTTGGGCCACAATTTTATATGATCAAAAACTGATTTGTTTAGCTTCTGCCTGGGGACTGATTGATGTGGTGACATCAGTGAGTGGAAGAAGCAAGAATTCTTGGCCCTTTGGGGGCATATCTATTTGGGGGGATTAAATAAAATGTTCATATTAAAACAAAGAGAGATTTACATCTTTTATTTTGTGGCATATCAAAGGGAGAGGATGTAAATTGGTGATTTGCTGCCTGAGCTTCTTGGTGGCAGATTTTTAAAAGGATACAGGGATCATGGAAAGGGCCAAGGAGGCTGTAGATTCTTATAGATTGTCAAGCATTCTCATCTCCAGGATATTCCATTCCCCGTTTCTGGATTTATAAGTCCTTCCTCCCAAAGTCCCAAGTGATGCTGAAATGTGGGTTGATGGTCTCAAATAATCCAGATCTGCATGATGGAAATGGAGAAGAATTCTGTTCTTATAAAACCTGCCTCTTTTTTTTAGTGCAGCAACTTAGGAGCCCACGTTTTGATGTC